AAGGCTAAACCTCTAACACACAGGCCTTTGGAAGACCATTCCAGATCAAACTGTAGCACCCTAGCACCCTTCTAATGAATTCCAGATTTGCTTGTGTGTGGTAACAAATGGAGAGCTTTGCCAATTACCCTTGACACCAAAGAATAACTACAGCCACTTGCTAGGTTTGCCTTATGTAGCAGACCAAGGTAGGCACTTAGACGAGTCTATTTCTGATATAAACATCCCAGTACTGCTACTGACTGGGCACCTTTGTCTGCTGCTGACTATGGAAAGTAGAGTTTTAGGAGGCTGTGAAGATACCACATCACCTCATCATTAGTTGCAAGATTTAAATTCAGTTTGTATTCCTAAAACACTGTCAATCAAAGACAGGCTCACTTTCGTATTTTTGTAGTTTTACTCCATGCCTCATTTCTTACTTATAGGATGTTTAGAGTATGTCCAAGAAACACCATGGGAAGCTTCATAGAATGATTTTGCAGGAAAAATTGAACAGGAAAAAAAATACTCCACACAGTGTCCATCTGTAGTAAATATGCAGTATTCTGCAGATATGGAAAGCTGATAATGAATGTTCAAGGATTTGTATATTTCTTTGTTTGGATCCACAGATATATTTCTGGCAGAGCCAGCTAGCAAATATGTTCAGCTTTGGGAGCCCTTATGGCATGGAAGAAGCCACTGACTGTGGATTCACAAATAGACAAGCATATGATCAAATAAAACTTTATTATAGATCTTGAAATTTGAATATCATAGTTTCGTTTCATGGTTTCTTCATCTCAAACCTTTTCAACCATTGAAAAATAGGGGTGAGAGAGAGGGCTTAGCCTAAATCCAATGTGAGCACAAAGAGCAAGCTTATTTTGGTGGATAGGGATATGAAGGAATGATAATTCCTGAAAAGAAGCTATTTATACAGGCTGATAAACTGATTAAATGTCAAGGACTAGGAGAGGTTGGAATGTTCTAGGTTCAGAGCCTAACTAAATATCTCAGCTGTCTTTATCCCCCTAAAGAGCCAGTTCTTGTGCACCACCTTGTCAAACCTAAATGGGTGAAAACCTTTGGGATATATTAACTTAAGGAAACCCTGTTCTCTACCAATCAGAGTTAAAGATGTTATCAGGTAAAATCTGGGGCCTTACTTGAGATTCTTCCCATTGAATGTAACCACATCTCTGAAAAAATTTCTTGATTTATAATTTTCTTTGTTCCGTTACCATTAAAAACTTCATGAAATTGCTCATACATTGCAACATTGGACCTCTCAGTAACCTAAGCCCATGTTCCTGGGCTATGGTCACTCAAATTTAGACCTAGAATCAACTGTCTCTTATTCTCTGTGAGGTGAGAGCTGTGTTACTACAGAGCCCTTGATTAGTTTATTCAGACTAGAATTCTACTTGGCTAGCTACAAAGTCATTTCTTGACCCTACCTAGTGACATTTACACTGTAGGTAGGCCAAATGTGTCTGCAGAACAACAGCATCTGCACCTCCGGATGTTTGCAGAGACATACAATCTGGGACTTGGTCTCACACCCAGCAAATCAGAACCTCTGCAATTTTAATGACTCAACCATCATTAAAAAGGTTTCTGGTGATGCTGACTTTTGCAAGAGTTACAGAAAAATGGTCTTAAACTTTAAGGTGAAAATTGCTGATTTTGGGACATTAAAGAGAACACATTTTTCTATCCCAAAGTCAATTAACAGGGAGTGAATACCTAGTAAGGTCCAACTCTGCATTGGTGATTTGAGATCCTCACTCAGCAAGGGTCTTTAATGACTAGGGGAGTGTCTTACATCGGAACTCCAGGGAATCCCTTTTGAGAGGCTGTTTCCTTGTATCCTTCCTGACTAATGTGAGCTTTGCTCCTTTGGGGAATGACACCTGCTTAGGCATGTGCAGGAGTAACACTTGTTCCACGCCATCTGAGTAGTTTCATTTCAATATTAGCATCCTCTAAGCTACTGCAATGACTGCTATTTACCATTCTGCCTGTCTCCTAGAATGCAGTCATGCGTAGGTTTGGGGTTTTTAGGGACAATTTATCAAATGGTAACAACAAACATCCCAGCAAGTAGCTGTTCTCATGGTTCTCATCAGGAGGGCTGCCACTGTGCTCAATCTCTCTCTCTCTCTCTCTCTCTCTCTCTCTCTCTCTCTCTCTCTCTCTCCTCTCTCTCTCTCTCTCTGTCCCTCTGCTTTGAAGACACAGATAGGCATGCATTTGAGAGTGAGACAAAGGTATGGGAACTCCTGGGGTGGGGTGGGGGTGGGGAGCATGAAAATTAGGAATCCAACAGCATCTACCACATGGCTTCTCTGCCAGCCTGCCACCTGCCCATCAACCAGCCCCTGGCAGATTGCTGGCAGCCTGGAGTCAGGAGCATACAGCTGTTCTTCTCCTGCTGAGAATAGTGACTTTGAAAGATCACCAAGGAAACACTAAACGAGAGGGGGGGGGGGGGAGGAGGGAGAGAGAGAGAGAGAGAGAGAGAGAGAGA